GTGTCTGTGTGTGTGTGTGTGTGTGTGTGTGTGTGTGTGTGTGTGTGTGTGTGTGTGTGTGTGTCTGTATGACCACAGCAGAGCATCAAGTGACAAAACACTGGAACGCTTGTGCCGTGGGAGGGAGAAAAAGAGCGGGAGGGGTGAGAGAGAACCAGAGAGATGAGAAAAGTGCAGCACTGATAGATCTGATGGCAGATGAAGATGAAGCCAGCAGGTGCATGAGAGAATATTCCTCTCTCGTTTTGGGAAGAAAAGATCTGAGTGTGTAGAGAAAGAAAAGAGGACAGTGGAGTGGAGGAGAGAAGCAGGAGGACATGCACGCCTCCTAACTCAAGTGTTTCTTCATGACTTTCTGCCCATCATGAGCTCACTGATGCTTTGATTCAGTCAGAACTCACTGTTCGTTCACTAGAGAGACTCTCGGAGCGTTTGGGGCCGTTTCTCGTCTTCTGATCTGGAATATACGTGCACAAGTGGAAGAATGAAAAAACAGGTGGAACGTAGGATATGAATCTGAGATGGACAATGTGTGTGTGTGAGGTCGAGATGGCAGAGCTCTGGATCCCCATCACGAGCTGCACAAGTGCTCATCAAATGCTCCAGTTTGGATAACGCACCACAACGCCACAGCACACTTGCCCTGTCTTATTTTTGAAAATGCGAAACTGCAAAATGTTTCTTGTCTCTTCATATTCAGTTATGAAAACATTTGAGAAATATCTGTTAGTACTTAAATATATTTTATATAATTACTAATTAATATCAAATTAATAATTTATATTGTAAAAGTTGTCAAATATTAAATATTTACACACACACACACACACACACACACACACATACTTTCAGAGGGCAAGGACCCCTTACAAAACGCAAGGTAAGCAACATCCCTCTGAACTTTACCACTGTTTTCAAATGTGTTGCTATTTAATATTATACTTTCCGCTGCTAGAATCTTAGTTATATGCACAGTTATTACATATTACATCATTGCTGTCAATGCAAATTAAGACAACGCTCTAAAAATAAATAGAGAAAGTTTGTAAAGGGTTAATCGTAATGCCTGCGCAGCAGCTGGGGCCCGTGAGTTTATTATTGCATCAAATGCGGCGGGTCTAACCATAAGTATGAAACTAAAAATAGTAAATATAGTAAATAATAAACATAGGGACTCATAGGGATATTTTTATTTGATCATTTTATAATTATTAAGATTTTAGTTTTTTTATTAAATAAAAAGATAATACATTAAATCATATACAATATTTATATTAAATAAAATACAAAATAAATGTAATTAAGAGTAATTTTAACTCCCAATGCATAAATGTTTTAATGTGTGCTGGGAATAATCAGTCACTGCACTTCATAAGAACATCGTTAACTGACCTGATATTGAGCAGAAAGTTATGCATACTAAGTATGCTTTTCAGAGCGTGCTGTAAGTAAAAATAAGCCGTACTGCCTTTCTGTAGTGCAAGAATGAACCCAATGAAGTTTTCACACGTGTGTCTTTATCTCCGACGAGTCCCACTTTTATCATCTCCCTGACATTTAGAGATGCCAAAAGTGAAGTCCATCATAACATAACGCACAAACACACACTAAACAAGCACATAATACACAGACTCCAGACAAACCAAAATGCTAAAACTTTCTGCATTTACTTATGAATCATTTTCCCAAACGAGGACGTCCCCAAGTGTCTCCAAAGGGAAGTTTTGTCCGATTTTGCTCACTTCTGAGGACAATTTTGTCTCCCGCACTCACACACGCTTCTGTTCAGGAACTACTTCAGCAGAAACACTGTGCAGATGAAAGTGTGTGTGTGTGTGTGTGTGTGTGTGTGTGTGTTTGAGTGCGTGACAGTCATGTTCATCTTGCTGAAGAGGTCAGAGCTCCCCTGACCCCTGGTGGCGCTGGACTGCTCAAACTCATCAGCTATTTTATAGTGATCTACAAAGGTTTAAATGCTAAAGAGTCATCACTGTCAGACCAACAAAACAATGTTAACAAATACAGAACACATTCAATCCACATGCATATGAATTATTCAAGCAGACGTGTAGAAATGCATCACTGATCACTTTCACATGGACACAAGCAATCCGACCACAGGCTTTACTTTATCTAATGCTCTTAAAGCAGATTTTTTTTATTTGTATTTATTTATTTTTTGTGCAAATATCTAGTACATGCATGTATCTGTCCATTAATTGGTATTAGTTTGTTTTTTGTCTGTGCATAATTACAAAAATGCTAATAATACAATAATAAAATAGTAGAGTGGCACTTTTGATAATATTTTTATAATACTATAGTATATAAGATGTATATAAAATGCATATAAGTGACATTTCCAATAATAATTGTATGCAATAACTATGTATTCTGTATAAAATCAGATAAAAAAAGTTTAAGTTCTAATATGAATATGCATGAAAACGCTTTTTAACAATATAGGCTGGAATATTAAGTTTGAATTTCTGAGCATAATTTAATTGAGCTCTATGACATTTGAATGTACATTATCTAATGATCTGTCAAGCATTGCATAATGCAATGTTTTTTTTAATGCAATCAGTAAAACATAAAGTCTTACCAATATTGCTGAACTTCTTGGCACAGAAACTGCAGAAAACAGCAGGTAATGTGACAAAAAGATCAGCGTTAAATACTGCAGAAAACTAGGCCGCAAGCAGCGCGCATGGAGTCATTAATCATCATATGCTTCATATCATAGAACAGCTCTGTTAAGATGTCAAAGGATGTTACAAGAACACTGTCACATTTAAATGAAGTCAAATGCTGAAGTTCTGGTGAGTTCACTGTCAAACCAAATCAACATATGCAAGGTCAACGTTTGCTTTAGGAAAATGTCTGTAATTCTGATCTGACAGTAATTCATCTCATCTACAGTTTCTGAACAGAATCTCACCTGCCGTCTCGAAGGTTCTGCAGAGTCAGATGATGATAAAAAAGCAATTCAATACTGCAAATTATTAAATAATTAATTGCGCACACAGTAACCTGATTAAGAGCCGGCAGAGAGCATTTGAGAGTGACAAACCGTCGGTTTTATCTGTCGTGACTAGAAACACTGTCAACATTACAGCATTACACTACAATGTTTTTTTCGATCATATTAAATATTTTTTATGGACTTGACATAACTGTAAAATATTATTTTTCATAGTTGTGAATAAAACTAGACAATACTAGTTTTAGTACAATACTAGCAAAAAAGTCTTTCTATTCTTCAAAATGTAATGTTTAATTCAAGGTGTTACTTTCCATTTCTTTTTAATTATTTGTGAAATTTACTATAAATTTCTGAAGGAAAACGGTTTCTAATCTATTTGTCAGTGTACATTAATGTCAGATAATGTAAGTAATCGTACACTGTAAAAATGATTTTGCTGCTGGTTTAATTATTTAATTTAACTTAAATATGTACGTTTGCTATGAAGTTTACTTTTTTTGTAGCATTAAATTTAATTCCCAGCATGCTTTGCATAGGGCTGCATCAGAAAAGTAAATGTTGTAATTTTGTGTTATTTTTAATGTTTTTGGGGGAAAGACTTGTTTCTGTTACACTGACAAAATGGTAACCTAAACCTAAGTTAAGTGGTTTTATTCAAGTCAAAAATATTATTTAATATTGTTGAATCGACCTAAATGTATTAATTTATACAAACAAAACTGACTTTTAAGGGTTAAATCAGGTATAAATTGTTCTTTCAGGTAACAATTACCCCTTTTACAGTATATGTATGACATGTAAAAGAGTTATTTTAAACATACATCAACAATCAAGTGTACATAATTGTAAGTATTAGTTTGACAAATGTTAGGTAGACTTTACCTATAGTTTCTTTAGCTGTTAAATTTAGGTAGTCCTTTCTCGACACATGGGATGAATTCTACCCAAACAAATTGAATACAAGTGGTAAATTCTATAGGTTTCTATTTTAGTGAGGTTCAAGGTTTGTTTTGACAGTGTAATATTGAGCATTACTTCATTGAATACTACAAAATGCTAATAGCAAACTTAACTTTCTGCTTCAGGTCATGCAGCAACAGTTCATTTGAGTTTGAGTTCAAATTTATAACTTTCCCATAAAACACCGCCTCTGTCATTCCCATGACCCACATTCTGTTCCGCTTGGGTTCACAGACAGACATCATGACATTCTCCGGTCAAATCTGCTGCTACAACCTAGAACTCACCGTTCCCTTACAAGTCAACTACCTCCTGAGGGTGCACCATAGCCCAAAAATCAGCAACACACCACCATACGGCACAACTTACATCCAATTTTGAACTTTCTGCCAAAAGAACGCCTCTTGTTCATGCATAGAGCTATTTCTACCCGAGTTGACCTTTAAATCACTTTGGTGTAATTTTATGCATTTTTTACTTAAATTACATTTTACAGTTATCACATGCAAAACATTACAAGCTTCCTAATTTTTTTTTTTTTGCATTATATTGCATCGAAAGTATGCTTTTATTCTGTGTAATTTATTTATTTGCATTTTAGCTTTGTTTATTGCAGGATTTTGTTCTAAGGCATTCACAGGCTTTCTCTTTCTATCTCTGTTATCTGAGACAACTGTGGTAAAAGGCCTGACGATGATGGCGCTGAAATGATGCGAGACACCGAGAGCTCAGATACAGGCAATACTGCAGTGTTTCTGTGTGTGTATGAATGCATGAGTGAGTGAGTGTTTGTACAGATCAGGTATCATGTTGTTCAGCCACTAATTGTAACCCTTCTGCCTTCTTCCTGCAGACAGCATAGAGACGCTTCAGCCACTGTAATTATGTAATGATGTTATCAAGTATCAAATCAAACAAACAGACCCTGTATAAATAAATGTAAGCTCTTTAATCTTTTATCTTGAAAACAGAATAGCAACACCCAGGGAAACTTTTGCACAAGTAAACATCCCTGACAGTTTGTTCAGAATATATAACCATATATTATATAATAGGAAATTATATCGAATCTTATGTGATTTTAAAACTGCACACCTAACTTAACTTAATTAAAAATTATTTTCAGTAATTGAAATAAAGCTGACATAAAATAAAATATAAATATTAGATTAAACATTTTACTTAAAAACTGGAAGTCTGAAAATCATACCTTGCAACTAACTGAAATAAAAAAAAGTTTATGCTGAAATAAAAAAATTACTAAAACGGAAATGAACATTTTAAATATTAAAAAATTGACTAAATAAATAAATAATATAATAATAAAATGACAAGCACACAAAATAATTACTAAACAAATGAAAACTGAAAATATAAAAACAAAAAATATGAAATACTATAAATAATACCAAAATAACACTGAAGAAAACAACACTAACAGTTTCTTAAGAAAAATATATTTAAAATATATATTCAGTCTTGTGACATTTTAAAACAACCCACAGGCAAACCTGGTGAGCGAAATGTAATACTGAATATTAAATTGGCATATGTATTGTGTTCTTGAGTTTTAATTAGTTGTGATATTGTTAATTAAATATAATATAAATATAAATTGTGATATTGTTTATCTAAGAAAACAAATAATGAAAATGACAAAGGTAAATAAAGTTACTATAACTTAAAGTAAAATGTAGACTTTAGGTTGCAGGACTTTTTGGGAAAGAGATCTATCAAGATCTTTCAGTAATCTGTCATGCTAATTTTAAATGTTATAAATAATATAATAATATACTAAAATAAATCTGGTGTTCTCCAGAAGAACAGGTATTAATCTGAAGAATAAGTGAAGAAAAGCCAGCGGTAGTTTAAGTGTGACAGTAATGACGTCGCTGTATGGTACGCAGAAGCAGGCCAGACAAATAAAGCACAAAACCTCTCTGAGCGCGGACTGCATATATTTAGATTTCAGGCCATGGGGTTTCCTCCCTTCTTGGTCTTTGTCATACATCAAGTTCTGTCTCTCTTCCCTATTTTTGCTTCATAACCTTCATTATTCCACGTCTTATGTTAATTTTCTGTCTATCCCCAGCCAACTCATTGCCCTCCCCCTCTTCAACCCACTTAGCATCTCTAGAGGATTGTGGGATGGCACCCATGGCCAATGCCTCATGCAGACACAGGTCTCCTGAGTGTCTGAATGATGTGTTTAAAACTCAAGCGTGTGTGCGCAAACACTCTCAAACACACACGGGGCACATGCACAAACTCCCAAAACGTTAACACCCCTTTTATGTCATTTTTACTTTGGTGCAAATGTTTCGGAGGGTAGGAGTTGGGTCTCCTGAGGGACATCTGCGGTTGTGTGTGTGTGATTTGATAGCCAGAACATCTCTGTTGTGTTAAGCAGCTTTAAAACAGAGCTCTGATCAATAATGTACAAGCCGAGAACAAAAACGCATACATGAGAAACCTGAAATTAAACCTTTGTCCTGCCTTAACCTGTACACGCTAATATCATACAAAGTCTTGTGCAACGCCAAGCTAATGTCAGACAGAGAATCTGATTGTTTCCTTAAAATGAGCCAACAGCTTAAAAACAAAACAGCCTCTTTTACTCTTCATGATCAGTTTTGGTCTGAAGGTAAAACACGCACCATCTGAAACCAGGTGAAACTAAAGTAAGTAAATGAATGAACTCCATATGGCACATTTTAGCTCTAACCCCTAGTGAGCTGCCTACACAGAAAGCATTTTTCAGAAAGCACTACACAGAAAAAATCAATATGGCAGCAAATGTAAGAGAAGTTATGGTTATAAATACTTATATATTATACAATGCAAAAAAAAAAAGCAGAACATCCAGAATAGCCTATCAACCCCTAGCAACATCCTAGAAAATACCCAAAGAACCTAGTAGTGCAATTGCAAACATACAGAGCACCCTAGCAACCACCTAGAAACACCCCAACAAACATTCTGAACACTGTAGCAACCACCTAGCAACATCCTAGAAAACATCCAGAAAGCCTAGCAACCACCTAGCAACACCCTAACAAAAATTCAGAACACCGCAGCAACATCCTAGAAAACAACCAGAAAGCCTATCAACCACCTTGCACCACCCTAGCAACCAGCTAGCAACACCCTAACAAACATTCAGAACACTGCAGCAACATCCTAGAAAACACACAGAAAGCCTAGCAACCACTTAGTAACACGCTAACAAACATTCAGGACACTGTAACAACATCCTAGAAAACACCCACAAAGCCTAGAAACCACCTAGAAACTCCCTAACATTTAGCAACCACCTAGGCAACACACTAACAAACATTCAGAACACTGCAGCAACATCCTAGAAAACAACCAGAAAGCCTAGCAACCGCCTTGCAACACCCTAACAACTAGCAACCACCTAGCAACCACCTAGCAACACCCTAACAAACATTCAGAACACTGCAGCAACATCCTAGAAAACACCCAGAAAGCCTAGCAACCGCCTTGCAACACCCTAACAAACATTCAGAACACTGCAGCAACATCCTAGAAAACACCCAGAAAGCCTAGCAACCGCCTTGCAACACCCTAACAACTAGCAACCACCTAGCAACCACCTTCCAACACCCTAACAAACATTCAGAACACTGCAGCAACATCCTAGAAAACACCCAGAAAGTAGGCCTTTCACGATAAAAACTTTTTGTTGTGCGATATATTGGCCCAGAAATAATTGCGATATTATTGTCATTTTAAAGACCATTTTATGCCACAAAATATATAATCATAATGTAACAGCATAATAATGCAAGAAGGCCTACACACTTCCAAATGACAACAAACTTTTAATTTTTAAGAATATTTAGATCATGGAAATACCTTAAAAAACCTGAATAAATAGTAAATAAACATTTTCTAACAAAAAGTGCAAAGTGACAAGTAGAAAAAAAGAAAAATGTACAAAGAACTTTTATGGAGATTTTTCCATCTACAGATTTTTCCCTGACCTTCTTTTCTCTGTAAATTAAGGGTGCACACTATTGCTGAAAAACACAATCCCTGCTTAGCAGTCAGATGTCCGTATGCACAAAGGCACAGATCAATAAACAAGGCCATGTCTGCAGATGAAACTTTTGTAGAAGCTTTTTTAAAATTTGAACTAGCACCTCATGACTACACCACGTTATGTACGAGAAGTTGCAAAAGACACAAACACAAGTGGAATGTACAAAACATGGTGACATTATTTTTTAAGTAAATATAATGGGCGATATATTGCGTCACCAAAAATTATTGAGATCATGTACATATATTGCGCGATAAGTCGATATATTGATTATTGCGACAGGCCTACCAGAAAGCCTAGCAACCACTTAGCAACACTCTAACAAACATTCAGAACACTGTAACAACATCCTAGAAACATCCTAGAAAACACCCACAAAGCCTAGAAACCACCTAGAAACACCCTAACATCTAGCAACCACCTAGGCAACACACTAACAAACATTCAGAACACTGCAGCATTGCAGCAACATCCTAGAAAACACCCAGTAGGCCTAGCAACCACTTACAGTAGCAAAACCCTAACAAACATTCAGAACATTACAGCAACCACCTAGCAACACCCTAACAAACATGCAGAACACTGTAACAACATCTTAGAAAACACTAGCAACCACCTAGCAACACCCTAACAAACATTTGGAACACAGTAACAATATCCCAGAAAATACCCTGAAAGCCTAGCAACCACCTAGCGACACCCTAACAAACATTCAGAACACTGTAGCAAACCCCTGGCAACATCCTAGAAAACACCCAGAAAGCCTAGCAGCCACATAGCAACACCCTGGAAAACACCCAGAAAGCCTAGCAATGTCCCAACAAACACTCAGAACCCCCTAGCAACGCTCTAGTAAACATTGACAACACACTAGCAAACACATAAAATGCCCTTATCAACACCTGGCAGCGCCCTAGTAAAAACTCTGAACACCCTAGCAACACTCTACCAAAGATTCAAGACACCCTAGTAACCACCAATGCCCTAGAAAACGTTTAGAACATGGTAGCAAACACCTGGCAACATCCTAGGAAACACCCAGAAAGCCTAGCAACCACCTAGCAACACCCTAACAAACATTCAGAACCATCTAGCAAACACCTAGTAATGCCCTAGCAAACACTCAGAAACCCCTTAGCAAACACGGTGACCGTGATTTCACAGAGTACAACATGTTCCTGGATCAACATCCTTGTTGATCCTGGAACAACATTCCAATTAACCAATCAGAATTGAGGGATAACTTTTCAGGAAATATCTGTTTTAGGCTTACGATCAGGGTTAGGTGCTTCTACACCCTTGTAAATGAGCTATCATTTCACACTGATTTTAGGAATACATTATGGGTAGGGTTAGGTTTAGGGGTAGGGATTGGGTTTAGTCTATAATTTTGGACAGTAATGTTGCAACAGGATCAACAAAAGATGTTGATCCAGGAACATGTCTTACTTGGCAAAATCACGGCGACCTAGCAAACACCTAGCAAAACCCTAGTAAAAACTCAGAACGCCCTAGTAATGCCCTACCAAAGATTTAGGACACCCTAGCAACCACCCGGCAATTCCCTAGAAACCACCTATCAATGCTCTAACAAAGACTTTTAACACCTTTTTTATAATGATAACTGCAGCAAATTGCTTGAAAGAATATCTGCTGAAACTATTACTTTGATATAAGAATGTTTATATATGCAGCATCTCTCTCAAATGGCACCATTCTTATTTTTAGCTTTATGAACTGATACAAACATGCAGCACTAATGATCTGTTTCTTTTTCTCAAGGGTCTGAGGAAACCGAAGGGCTTCTACTTTGGATTGGACTTGTCCCAACAACACTACAACTGAACCACCCACCACCCTGGACTCGTACTACTACTAAACCGCTCCAAAAGAGAGGGAACACCAGATCGCAAAGATAGGAAGGCCAAGGAGTGCTAAAGAGAATGAGCGTGGGTCGGATCGGTCGCTACAGCATCGTGTCGACGGAGGAGGATGGTCTGCGCTTGACAACCATGCACGGTGGAGGGATGAATGGATACGGCAACGGCAAGATCCATACTCGGCGGAAATGTCGCAACCGCTTCGTGAAGAAAAATGGACAGTGCAATGTGCAGTTCACCAACATGGACGAGAAGTCCCAGCGCTACCTGGCGGACATTTTCACCACTTGCGTGGACATCCGCTGGCGCTACATGCTGATCGTTTTCACACTAGTCTTCGTGATTTCTTGGTTAGCGTTCGGCTTGGCGTTTTGGGTCATCGCGCTTCTTCACGGTGACTTGGACAACCCGGCGGGGGACGATAACTTCACGCCCTGCGTTCTACAAGTGAACGGCTTCATTGCAGCGTTCCTGTTCTCCATCGAGACGCAAACGACCATCGGTTACGGTTTCCGCTGCGTGACGGAAGAGTGTCCTCTCGCGGTTTTTCTCGTGGTCTTCCAGTCCATTGTGGGCAGCATCATCGACTGCTTCATGATTGGGGCAATCATGGCCAAAATGGCACGCCCCAAGAAGCGAGCGCAAACTCTACTGTTCTCGCATAACGCCGTCATTGCCATGCGAGACGGGAAACTATGCTTGATGTGGCGGGTGGGGAACTTGCGAAAGAGCCACATCGTTGAGGCACATGTCCGAGCGCAGCTCATCAAGCCGCGGGTTACGACAGAAGGCGAGTACATCCCCCTCGACCAGCTGGACATTAACGTCGGTTTCGACAAAGGACTCGACCGCATCTTCCTCGTCTCGCCAATCACCATCCTGCATCAAATCGACCAAGAGAGCCCTTTGTTCGGCATCAGCAAGCAGGACCTAGAAACTGCGGATTTTGAGATCGTGGTCATCTTGGAGGGAATGGTGGAGGCCACGGCCATGACGGCGCAGGCGCGAAGCTCCTACTTGGCTAGCGAGATCCTCTGGGGGCATCGATTCGAGCCGGTGCTGTTCGAGGAAAAGAACCAATACAAGGTTGACTACTCACACTTCCACAAGTCGTACGAGGTGCCGTCCACACCATGCTGCAGTGCCAAGGACATGATGGAAAACAAGTACCTGGTGGTGCCCAGCGCCAACTCCTTCTGCTACGAGAATGAGCTGGCGATCCTGAGCCACGAAGAGGAGGAGGACAACAGTCCGGAAAGGATAAAGCCAGAACGAGCAATGAGCCTCAGCCCAGAGAGAACCCCTCGACATGATTTCGAACGACTGCAGAACCCTCACTGCACAGAGCAAAGGTCATACCGCAGGGAGTCGGAGATATGAACCTTTACTACGACCTTTTTGATACTCGAATTTTGTGACGCGTTCCTGGAGATACTGGAGCTTCTACAATGCAGAACAATGCAAAGTGCCATACAGAGAGAGTGAGCGCATGAATCAGCGAAAAAAAACAAACGGGTGAATGTGTGAAAGCTGGAAAGACGCTTAGCGGAAGATTCGAAAAAAGAGAAGGGCAGTAGGAATCTTTTTATCCTGCATGGAAAACTTGAATCTTTTCCTCATTTTGTTTCATGAAAATAGTTTAGCTGTTAAACTCTTCATTCTTAAAGAGATAGTTCACCCAAAATTGAGCATTCTGTCATCACTTACTCGCCCTTGTGTCATTCCGAAACGGTATGACTTTCTTTCTTCTGTGGAACAAAAAGGAAAGATTTCGAAAAATAATATATTTGTAAAAGTACGTATTGTAATAGTAAAGAATCA